TAGTTATCCGAGCTAAATAAGGTATAGGGAAGAACCTAATCAAATTGGAATGATTGTGCAATTGAATCCTTCTCTTAGAGCACTTCCACCAGTTAGCCCCTTGTGGCAAGGGGAGCCCTAGGGCTGCTACTATTCACGTGAATAGTGGCTACCCTAACCCCCCCAGCAAAGTATGTTTCCAGCAGTTTAGGCTTGCCATGGAAAATACTATTCATTTTTTTATTTTTTTTTCACAACTTTGTTTACTTAAACATTTGATTTGGATAATATTTTCGGATAAGATTTTTGGGTTCCTACGTGTCAATACTATTCATATCGGATAAGATTTTTGGTTTCAAATTTCATAAAAATTTCAAAATTCAAATTTCAAATAAATCAATACAACTAATAAAATAAAATACATAAATGACCACTAATTATTAAAGCAAAACAAAAAAAAAAAAACACAACAAAATGAAAGGCAAGCAAACTAAGAAATGAAAGGCAAGATTTTATTTTATCAGATAATATTTTTGGATAAGATTTTATTTTATTAGTTGTATTGGTTGGTATTTATAGAAAAAAAAAAGTATGAGGATTTGGTGTTAAAAGTGAAGGTATTGGTTGGTATTTATAGACACTGGCGGACCCGGAATTTTTTTTAGCGGAGGTGCAATGTTGACTAAGTATGAAAAATGCTTTTTCGAAATAATCATTTTCTCAAGATAATTTTAGGCGGCTTTTATTCCTTACATATTAAATAAGAAAACTTGATTTTATGAGATTTTAATATGAAGTATATATTGACTTAATGAGCCATCATTTTTAGCCTAAATCGTATTTTGCACTAAAACCGATTTTTCATATTATTAGATAAAGGAATCTAATGTCAAATATTCTAATGTGAATTATTCCTTTATATGATTATCCTGATAAGATTTGAAGAGCTCTTCTTTCAAATCTTATGTACTACTTTTCGCAAAGATTTGATCAATCATATCTTTGGAGTATTCACTATCTTTACTAAGAGTAGAGATCCCTTGTAGTACCCTACAGCGGGAAATGATCAGGATGCAGGAGCACAACAATATCCTCTCCTCCAAACTGGACGACACCCAAAAACAGCTTCACGAGCAATAATCACGTTCAGCCCAACTGCAGGATGGTTTGGAACAAACCACGCAGCTTCGGCAGGCACGATCACTGAAGAGCGTACCAAGGCCTAACGATCGAAAGGCTGGAGGGCTAACCGTCCGCCTCCCGACGACTATTCGTGCCAACTCCGGCAAGGCATCGTCGGGAATACCAAGTCTACTCAGACTGCCGCGACAGAATCAATGACCGACGACGGGAACGGCAGACATCACCGATTCCCGTCCAAGCAAAACTCAACAATCGACATCTGGACGTACTGGGACCAAAATCTCCCCTTTGACGGAGGTACGACATGATCGGCCTAGATGAGACAGACGAATCTGACTACATTCCGACCTCCCTCGGCACGACACTCTCACGCCAGTCGACGACATCTGGATCGGCCAGAAGGAACAATCGGCGGCAACAACTTCCGATGACGGGCCACGAGGCACAAGGACACGAGGGTTGCCTCCCAACCGGCCCTTAAATGGCAGAACCTTTCGAGATCGACCTCCCTTCTACCGATCCTACAATCCGCCTCCTCCTTCAAAAAGTCAACCGGATCGAGGAAGAGCAGAATCAGATCCGGACACCAACCTGGGGAAAGGTATAATCGGGACCATTCACCAGTCGAATCCGATTCTACCGACCTGAAAAAGAGGTACAGGAGCTCCGAATCTCATTCTACTCGGGAGTGGAAAACCCCGTCACCCGCATTCACACATTTCAATCGGCCTTGGGTTGCAAGGGACTCACTGATGAAGGCCATTGCCTGTCGTTCCCATCTGCCTTGGCCGGGGCAGCTCTGAATTGGTTCTATCGGCCGGAACCAGGTACAGTAGACTCTTTTGACCAGTTAAAGCAAATTTTCCTCAATCATTTTATGATACAGACCGATCGTCTATACTTTGCCAACGACCTTTACACCATTCGGCAAGGAGGCAGTGAGCCCCTTCGGGAGTACGTAGTCAAATTCAGCCACTAGTACTCTCGATGCCCATAAACCGACGACTGAGTAGCCTTCGGCGCCTTCAAAAGTGGTCTACGAGCCTCTCAATTTCGCTACCTAGTACACAGCAGCAATTAGACCATCTATGGCGAACTCATGAAGCAGGCAGCCATTCACGCCAAGGCCGAACACTTCAACTCTAAAGGAATGCCTTCGACATCTCCTGGCCAGACGACAAGCACGAGTCAGCCTTCGGCATCCACCTATGACCGTTTCCCGCCACACCAGACCACTAATCAAGCTCCCTACCGAACGGCACCCACTGTGCCCGCACCTTGCACAACGGGGAATAAGCGAAGGGACTTGTTCAAGGGTCGGCAGGACGGAGGCAAACGCAACAAGGAGTCAGGTGGCCGAAACTTCCGAAGCACCAAAAGCGACCGACAGCCGGAGGTCTTCACCATTCTCAACTCGACCTACGAACATGTCCTCATGGCCAAAAATCAAATGATCCCGAAGCCAAGCCTCCGGAAGCTCCCTCGGCAAGTCGACAAGGATACCAGAGTCTTCTGCCGATACCACCAATACAATGGCCATGATACCGAATCCTACATTGCCCTCCAGAGGATCCTTGAGAAACTGATCAGCAAGGGCAAACTAGACCAGTATCTGAATATGCAATCAGGCCCAGAGCATTAGGGGAATCGGTATATCAACATGATCAGCGGTGGTACACCGATCGCTGAGTCCAGCCGTCGGTCCGTCAAGAGTTACGTACGTGCTATTCGGCACCCTCAGGTCCTCAACCTCAATGAGGAGCGCAGCTCCAAAATCTGGTGACTCGGATAGGAACCCATCACCTTTTCCGAAGAAGAAGAGAAGGGCATCATCTTCCCCCATTCAGATCCCATGATCATTCGAGCTGACATTGCCGACTTCGACGTAGGTCGAATCCTCATCGACACCGGAAGTTCGGTCAACGTACTCTTCTCCGATGCTTTCAACAGCCTCGAAATCAACCATCAAAGCCTCAACAAGGAGATCACTCCTCTTCTAAGCTTCTCGAGTGATGTGATCGAGCCAATCGAGAGCATCCAGCTTCCCTTTGCTGTCGGCTCAGGCCCCAGAAGGGCTTTCATCTACACTTACTTCCTGGTAGTCAACTGTCTGACCGCATACAACGCCATCATCGGCAGACCCGCCCTCATCGTAATGAAAGCCATTTTGTCACCACATATACTGCTGCTTAAATTCCCAACACACTCAGGAGTCGGTCAGGTCCGGGGGGACCAATTGAGCGCACAGATATGCTACGTGTCATCCATGGCGAAATCAGCAACCCAGACGTAAGGGCAAAGGCCGCCCGAAACACTGGCTGTTACCCGCCCAAGCATGCTGAATGGCGAATGAGGGACTGAACGTCCCAATGACCCCTGGGACAACAAGGTCACGCCGCAAGCTCAACCTGCCGAAGAACTCGAAACGATCTCCATCTTCGACGCACAGGATCGGCAGGTCTGAATCGGCACTTCCCTCAGTCTATCTCTCCAAATCGACTTCATTACCTTTTTAAGGGCCAATTCGAAAGTTTTCGCCTGGTCATACAACGATATGCCTGGGATCTCCCGGGACGTCATCAGCCACAAGCTCAGCATCTCCCCTTCTTTGAAGCTGGTCCGACAGAAGAGACGATCCTATGATGCCGAATGATACGAGGCCATGAAGATCGAAGTAGACAAGCTTCAGGCAATCGGCTTCATCCGCGAAGTCACCTACCCTATTTGGCTCGCCAACTTAGTCTTGGTGAAAAAATCCGGCGGCGCCTGGCGAATGTGCCAGGATTACACCAATCTGAATAAGGCATGTCCGAAGGATAGCTTTCCACTACAAAGAATTGACCAACTGGTGGAAGCCACGGCTGGCCATGAGCTCCTCAGCTTCATGGACGCCTACTCCGGCTACAACCAGATTTTCATGCATCCTACGGATCGTAAGCATACAGCATTCATCACCGACAGAGGGCTTTATCGCTACAACGTCATGTCATTCGGCCTAAAGAATGCTGGAGCTACATACCAGCGACTGGTCAACAAAATCTTTGCCGAACTCATTGGCACTTCAATGGAAGTCTACGTAGACGATATGCTAGTCAAAAGTTGGACCGTCGGCGATCATCTTCGAAACCTCTCACTCATGTTCAGCAAGCTGAAAAAATACAACATGTGCCTAAACCCGAGCAAATGCGCCTTCGAATTCTCTTCTGGCAAATTCCTAGGCTTCATGATCAGCCAACGGGGGATTGAAGCCAACCCCGAGAAGATCTGAGCACGCATCGATATCAAAGGCCACCGGTCGAGTCGCCGCCTTGGCCCGTTTCATATCAAAGGCCACCAACTGGTGCGTCCCTTTCTTTAAAGCTCTCAAAGGGAGCAAACGGCAGGTCGATTGGACTTCCGAATGCGACCGAGCGTTCGAAGATCTGAAAGCCTACATGAGCAGAGCTCCTCTGCTGTCCACCCCTTTTCCCAGAGAAGACCTCATCATCTATCTCTCGGTCTCGGCATCGGCCCTGAGTTCCGTGCTCATCCGTCGACAGAACGGCATTGAGCTCCCTATCTTTTATATGAGCCATGCATTATAGGGCGCAGAGCAACGGTACCCCCAACTTGAACAGTTGGCCTACGCTCTCGTCCTCTCTGCACGCAAACTTCGGCCCTACTTTCAGGCTCATAGCATCGACGTATTAACTAATCAACCCTTACGGCAAGTCTTGCAAAGGCCAGAGACATCAGGACGACTGATCAAATGGGCCATCGAGCTTGGCGAGTTCGATATCAAGTATCACCCTCGGCCTTCCGAAAAAGGACAGGCCGTGGGCGACTTCATCTCAGAATTCACACTTCCAACCAATGACGGTCAACTAATCGACCCTGTCATGGCACCACATTCGGCATCTGTAGATTCACCTTCAGCCGACAATACGTTCGATCAAAACAACCCTCACTGGACATTATACGTGCACGGCTCATCCAATCGGCAGGGCAGCGGCGCAGGCCTAGTCCTCAAGACTCCGAACGACACCATAATCGAATATGCTATCCGCTTCCAATTTCGTGCTTCCAACAACGAGGCCGAATACGAGGCGCTCCTAGCAGGCCTTCAGCTTGCCCAAAGCTCGGGTGCCGAACAGCTGATGATATGTAGCGACTCCCAACTCGTCGTCAACCAAGTGATCACCGAATTCGCAGCAAAAGAGGAATCCATAGCTGCCTATCTCGCGCAGACCTGCCGGTTGCTCAAACAGTTCAAAACCTATTACATCCGCCAGGTCCCTAGATCTGAGAACAGCCACGCCGATGCTCTCTCTAGGCTCGCTTCGGCAATCGACGACCGTATCGGACGCCACGTCCCCATAGAAGTTCTCGCTCAGCGGAGCACGGCCGAAGCCGATGTCAACACCGTCCGTCAGGACCTTAGTTGGATGGACCCGATCCACGCCTACCTCACCAACGGCACCCTACCAACTGACAAAGCCGAAGCAAAGGCAGTACGACGACGATCGGCTCGCTACCTTCTGTTGCAAGGCATCGTCTATCGGCGCAACTACTCCCTGCCGTTGCTAAGATGTGTTACACCACAACAAGGAGACTACTCCTTGGCCTTCAAGGCCGTTTGGCAAGGCTATTATTGGCCAACTCTCCACGATGACGCCACCCAGATTGTGCAAAGGTGCAATCTGTGCCAACGTTTCGGATCTGTATTGAAAGTCCCTACCGAACCACTCAATCCGATGACTAGCCCGTGGCCATTCGCCCAATGGGGACTCGATCTCATCGACCCCTTGTCGCAGGGCACAGGTCAGCTTAAGTTCGCGGTCGTGGCCGTTGATTACTTCACCAAATGGACTGAGGCCGAAGCCCTCGCAACAATAACGACAGCCAAGATCGAACACTTTGTATGGAGAAACATCGTATGCCGATTCGACCTACCAAACGCCACCGTAACGGACAACGGCAAGCAATTCGACTGCTCAGGGTTTCAGCATCTCTGCTCCCGTTTCAACATCAGAATCTTCTTTACATCACCGACACATCCACAATCCAATCGGCAGGTAGAAGCCATCAACAAGATCATCAAGAAAACATTGAAGAAGAAGCTGGGAGTCGCCAAGGGCAATTGGCCTGCCATACTACCAGAAGCACTATGGGCCATCAATACCTCCTACCGAAGGTCAACTGGTGAGACACCGTTCTCCTTAGCCTTCGGTACTGAAGCTATCGTACCGGTGGAAGTACATGCGCCCACGTGCCGAATAGCATCCTATGACCCTCAACAGAACGAACAGCAGCTCGCCCTTAACCTGGATCTCAATGACGAACACCGATCTCAAGCACAGCTCTGGAATGCCACTTACAAATAACGAACGGCTCGGTATTATGACTCGCGCGTAAAACACCAATCGTTCAAAGTGAGGGACTGGGTTCTTCGTAAATTGCCTCTCGGAACGAGAAATCCTACCGAAGGCACTCTAGGCCCCTCTTGGGAAAGACCCTATGAAATCGTCAGCATCTGCCGACCCGGCACCTACCGATTGCGTGGCTCCGATGGTCGAACCCTCGGCCACCCTTGGAATGTTGAACATTTAAAATTCTATTATAAGTGACTGGACCTTCGGCCACTACACTTTTGTACAACTTTTCTTTATAAAGCAGTATCGTTTTCCTATTTCTACACAAATCAGTATACATGCTTATATTCGGAAACAAGGACAAACACTGACGCTGATTCAAATTAGACTTGGATATGATTAAAGCCTCAAGCTGGGCAATTGTCTTTACAAAATTGACCAAACGGCCTCAATATCCAAACACTAACTTTATATATTACAACAAAAAGAGACAGGTAGGGCCGCAATCAAGGAGTTGGAGGATCGGCCTTGGTAGCAGAAGCGGGCGGTGCCGGCCCCTCATCCTCTTGGGCACTTAACGGCTCCGCAAGGGGGAGTCGATTCTTCCTTCTCACCGTCCAATTCTGAGCCACTCGAGGAATAGACTTCGGCATCCTGCCCGAGGTACGCCTCGACCATCTCCTCGGTTACCCTCTCGGGCAAAGGCGGTGGATCCCGGACGAAGTTCAGGTTCAGTTTTTTATCAGTATTGAAGCGCTTGAACCGGTAGATGAGATCTTCGCATTGTTCCATCACCTCCTTGTCCAGCAATGCCACGAACTCCGGTGAGTTTCGGTACTCAGCTATAGCCTGCTTCTTGCCTCCTCCAACTCCGTCGCCCGAGACCGAAGCTCGGCCTCCTTCGATGCCTCTGCCTTCCCCCTAGCCCCTTCGGCATCCACTGCCGCCCTTTCGGCCTCCGCCAACCTGGAGGATAGCTCGGTTATCTTGGCAGCATTCTCCTCCGCATGCCGATCCGCATCCTGGAGTAGCTTCCCAGCCTCGGCAATTTTGGTTGGCCCTCCTCGTACTTCTTCTAGACGCTCTCGGCCGCATTGATAGCTAGCTTCATGCCGAGCCACATCTCCATGTTGGCCTACAAAACAACACAAACGTTAGCACTTTCCCATCACCTCAACCTTTGGACAAAACTAAGGTAAGCACACTTACGGCAGCTTGGAGGCAGAAGGCACGCCCAGCCTGTTCGCGCACCGACTTCTTCGGCAGCTGCTCCAGCTCCAGGAGCTCCATCTGAGCATCATCGATGAAACAGTTCACGAACGGTACCACCTTTCGAGGGCAGGCGATGTTCACCGGCTTTGCCTCGGCATCCTTCTCGTCCGACACGAGGATGGTTGCTTCCTCGTTCGGCCCCCTTGGCCTTTTTGGTAGAGGGTCACATCGAGGGCACCCTCGATCACCCTTTTTTCAGTCACCAGGAGATGAGCTTCCCGGATCAGCTCGGCCTCCGCCACCCTTCTCTCCCGTTGCCGATCGCCCGACGTGCCCTCCTGTGCCAACGTACCCTCGGCCTGGCCGGGCGGCTTCGTATTCAGCCTTGAGGAACCGGTTTTCTTCTTCTGCGGGGCCTGCAACTCAAGCCTCTTCTTTGTTGCTTCGGTCATTGCCCTCTCTCATGCCACTGCACAGAACTGGGAGTTAGGGCAGATTCGGCATACGCCACAATAAAATGAATCAATGAAAGGCCGAACGGCATTACTTACTTTGCCTCTCTTCCTCTTCTTCCTCCTTCCTTCGGAGGTACTCAGGCTCGCTGATCAAACTCGCTTTGAACAGGTTCTTGTAGTCCAGCAGAGCCTTGTGCACACAACCCTTCTCAGCTATTCTTAACTGAACGCGCTCGATCACTTCTATCTCCCTCTTCATAGCGATCGGCCATTTCCAGGACACTGAAACACAAAAATACAACCTCCAGTTAGCTTCGGTATTAAAAAAAATGGCGTTGTTGCTACCGAACGGCACCCCATGGGCCTACCGACTGTCTGGAAGGACGTGAGGATATGCCTCTCCACAATCACTCCCGGCGCCGATTCCCAAGCTCCTGACACCAACACCCGACAGACAGTTCGACTGCACCCACCCTCCCTGATCGGCGCTCTTCGCCCTCGTCACACTATACAGATGGGTGAATTGCTCATAGCTCGGCTCCCCCTCCCCAGCTATGCCGAAGGCCGTGATTGTCCCCAAGAGTGTAATCCAAAAATTTGGATTAAACTGCCCCGGGGTGTAGCCGATCGCCGCCAGGATCTTTTGCATGGAATGCCTCAGTGGCAGCCGAAGCCCGTGCTTAAAGACATCCGTAAAGAAGATCACCTCCCCCTTCGGATTGCTCAGCGACTCCAATGGTCCTGGGATCCGCATCTTTATCGATTTTGGTATGTTGTACAGGGCCCGGATCTTCACCACCTCCGCCTTGGTCAAGACGTTCGGCTCTAGATGGTCCACCCCAAACACAAGGTCCTTTGGCTTCCCCATCGGTATCCTTTGTCAGCTGGTGACCAACACATCAGCCTCGCCCTCTCCCATTCGACGACCAGATGTCGATGGGATGGCATTTTTAGCCCCCACTATTTCCACACTCGAAGTGCTCCCTTTATCGGTAGACATCTCCGGCACTTCTCCTCCCTTGGTCTTCTCAAAATCGGCACTATCAAGCCCTGCGGTCGAGCTCTCCAATGCTGATTCTCCATCAAACGCTCTTGGGCTACGACTATAGTCTAATTCGATGTCTGACATCTACAAATAACGGCAAAACGGAACTAAACGACTTGCACGAATCAAACCCTTATCCTAGAGCCCAAGAGCTGATGTTCATCTACGTTCATCTAGGTTCATACAGGTTCATACAAAATTTGAGACTTTGATTCATTTCAAATACAAAAAACCTCAACATACATTGTTTTCCACGGTGGTGGAAGTCGCCAGAAATCGCTCCACCTTTGCAAACACCGCCTGAAATCGCCTACAATGCCGCAATATACTTGCCGAAAATCGCCTCTCACAAGCTCCGTTTGCTCTCAAGAAACTCAAAGTACCTCCTCCTACCGCCTCTTCCTTCAATTTATAGGACGAGCCTAGTATCGGGAACCGAAACGTCACAAGTCTTCACAGCCTTGTCGACACGTGTCACCCATGCGCCCAACCGCCCTCACCTCCCCACTTGCGCCTACACTTCGAACATTTTGACTTCTCCCTCCTTCTCCTTTTTCAGACAGCGCACGACTTTCTCAGCATACGGTAGGCACGCCAGGTCAAGTTTTCACTCCTCTCGTGCCGAATGACAGGCACGCACGAGTCGAGTTCTCACTCACCTCTCGTGTCGAACTGCAGGCACGTACTGGTCAAGTTTTCACTCACCTCTTGTGCCAAACGGCAGGCACAAGCGGGTCGAGTTTTCACTCAGCCCTCGTGCCTAACGGCAGGCCCGCACGGGTCGAGTTTTCACTCACCCCTCGGGCCGAATGGCAGGCACGCACAGGTCAAGTTTTCACTCACCTCTCTTGCAGAACGGCAGGCACGCACGAGTCGAGTTATCACTCACCTCTCGTGCCGACCGGCAGGCCCGCACAGGTTAATTTTTCACTCACCTCTCGTGCCAAACGGCATGCACACACGGGTCGAGTTTTCACTCACCTCTTGTGTCGAACGGCAGGCACGCACAGGTTGAGTTTTCACTCACCTCTCGTGCCGAACGGTAGGCCCGCACGAGTCGAGTTTTCGCTCACCTCTTCCTGTCGTTGCCTTCCAATCTTCAAACCAACCTCTTAGGTTGGGCACTTGGGGGACTACATGATCATCACCGGCTTACAAACGACAGACGCTCGTTCCCGGGTCAGAATGCCAGAGCTCAGGGACAAGCAAGTCCCCAACCAAGAAGTCCCTCCTCGATCGGAAAATTGGGGGACTACTGTTTGTACCATGTCTGACCTCCTACTCACGTCGTGACACGTGGAACACCCTCAAAGCCGAGACAAGCTCAACCGGGCCATACCGAATGTTCTTTTGGCACTCTATACCGATTCAGTGGGCCGATTACGCACCATCAGTCCCTTCGCTAACCTTCGGCATGGTCTGCCGAGCGACCAACCATCATGTCAATCTAATTCTGTCAAATTACCTCAGAACTTCTGCCATAACCTGTCAGAGCACGTGTCGATCTCCGAAGACACTCCCACGAGTCCCACATCGAAACTAAGTGCTAAGAGCATCACAAATGCTCTCTATAAATAGAGCCCCTTAGCCCAGCCAAGTGGTAAGACTTTCTGACTTGACTAGTGCTTCCACTGTTAATAGAATCGCTCTTAGTTACTAACTTTGGCATCAGAGTTCCTTCGGCAAGTACCACACCAGTATCCCCTCCTCAGTTCGGATCCAGCCCCTACTTTAACCTTCGGACATCACGGAAGAAGGTCACTCCAATCCTCAACCATCAGCACACTTGTAAGTTAGCCTAAACTCTTATCTGTTCAGATTTAGCGCGAACACAACTTTATATTGTTCTCAAAGACAAACAACATAGCCACAAGACATTTATGATGTCTCAGTTCTAAGGATTAGTTTGCATCATTGCAATCTCTGAGTTCTAGTTTGACATGTGAGCAAAGACTTCCATTCTAGAACTCATGTGTTTGATAGTGTTCAATGTATACACATATCTTTGTGTCACTAAACTCAATGACTCGAGACCTCATCATTCTCTACATATAAAGAAGATACTGTGTGTACTAGTCTTGGCAGAATATCAATGCCCAATTGATACTCTTATGACCAGGAACATGTTTAGGATTAGGGATCGTGATAAGTCTCGGTGTATGCAATTTCATTACATAATTCTCATGTCTGCTTATACATTCCTGGGACTATAGTTGTTTCGTATGTCATAAGATACATGATCGTGAATTAAAACAATTGGTCTTGCCCATAAATTACTTAAATAAATCATTATAAAAGAT